TTTATTTACAATAATTTGTGTATCGGAAATATAACACTACATTGATATGTATTGCATTGTACTTAATATGTCGAAGTAAGTTGCTCTTTTACAATTAGTAATTTAGAAATCATCAACGTGTTATCTTCGTTAAAGAAAACTCAACTCCGAATTAATCAAAACATTTATAGTAAAATATAATTTAATTGTTCAATATATCCAAATACCCTCAATATTACTATAATGAATACAATATATACAATATAAAATCGCGGATTTTAATTATATAACATTTTTAATTGAAATTCAAAAAGTACTAGATAATTTTCTCATTTAATAATTCTTTTATTTAATAAAATTATTAACTTCATGGAATTACTAACTAAAATCTAGTTCAGTCAAACGACAATGTCAACTGAGTTTTACTTAACAGCTTCAATTTCATTAAATATTGTAAGAAAATAATTTAGAAAATTTCGACAAGAAATTCTTTTAACAACAAATAGCATCATATAATTAGTGGTAGCAGTTTTATTTCCTGTGTATTACGAAAAACATTTCAAAACCACTGTTAGTATATTATTACGGATAATATATAAATGACATGTTATTAACAATTGCCATTGGTAATGGAGAAATCGTCTATTTGCTTTTTCGATTTTTCGTGAAATTTTACTTTCTTCTCTGGGCTTAAGTTCATCATTTGAATCATCAGACTCTTCATTATTTTATTAATAAACATCCTTACGAACGACGGCTTCATGACATAAAGTACTACAAATCTGAAAAAAAAAGAATGTTAGAAATATAAATTAGGAAACAAGCTATAAAATAGGAGAACGTACACACAGAAAAATATCATATTATCCTCATCAGTCACATTATATATTCCAATATTCTGCGGATATAATATAGGCAAAACTATGAAGTTGGCCTGTCCAAGTGCTATCGCCATGTTATTCATGGTTATCGATTTAAATGATTTGTCGTAAATTTTGTAAGGACGTTGTTTGAGTTCCCCAGATAGACACGTGAGAGCGAAATCTTTTAGAAGCAATTCGTACTCCGGACACCATGGATCCGCGAACTTCGACGCGGAGTAATATTGTTTACTATTTATCTGAGAAATCTTTTCGCCTATCATCTTATGCTTTTTACGAATAATTTGCATATCACTGTAAGACTCAGAATCTTTAACCCAAGGCTCTCTATTGTACCAGGCGAGCATCCGTTTTATAGTATTCATATACCTACAAATTTATAGATGTATTCTTAAATTATTTGTTTTAACAACTGAATTATATATATATATATATATATATATATATATATATATATATATGGTTAGAGTACAAAATGTTTTTAAAAGTAGTTAAAGAGCAAAACCACTTTTATGCGTTTCTAATTCCCCAAATGCTGGGGTATAGTTTTTATCACTATAATCTTAATAGACTTGCAACTTAAGAGATAGTATCTTAAAAGAATACCTTTTGAATGCTAAATACGGCGTATGATCGTTTCCTCCTATAATAATTGGTTTCAAGCCATCGTCGAAAGTACAGCTATAGATATTGCCGAACGAGATGCTTAGAAGAATCGAAAAGTAATGCTCGTGCATAAACTTTTTTCCTTTCTGATACTTATTTATATCCAACCATTCGGGTAATTCATTTTGAGACCGGTCATACTCTATTAGGTGAAATCCAGCTTGAATAAGATTCTGCAAATTCTTTGGCAGGTTTGGAAAATATTTTACTACACTCTGTGCCTATTCGCGCTGTTTTTGTACGTGTTATAATTGACAGGTTTATAAAATTCAATACCATCGTATATACATTGCGGTTTCTTTAGATGTTTGTCGTCACTGGAGTTTTCCAAATAGTCGTCAATTTTGTTGGGAACGTTCTTATTAGTACTCCACATGTTTCACAGGAAGGTGGTTATTCGTATATTTCTTTGATTTTGTGATTAATTAATTTATCTGCAGAATACGGAAAGATTTCGTCCGTAAAGTAGCAGCGCCTATTTTCTATTTGTGTTAGCTAGCAATTTCATATACTACTGTCATACGTATTATTGTACAGTACGTATGTTTTCCCACCAATTTACATCTTATACTTATTCATCAATCCATTATTTATCTATCCAAACACAATATTCATTGTTCTCTTTGACGTAAAGCTACATTCTGTTTTACAATCATTGCATACGTGCCGATATTGATCTATTAAGATACCTTTTAGAAAGAAGAACAGTAAATAACTTTAACCAAGCAAATGGATTCTAAATGACGTCATATAAAACGTATAATTTTAATAAAATAAAAAAGTGAAGAGGAAAGAAAAACAACTGTTTTCTCAGATAATATTAAATGCGTATTGAGTGATAAGTGACATATTAAATACACTATCCTTATAGAAATATCATACTAAGAATCATTGATAATTACTTATTTTTAGTATTAAAAATACTGGATAATAAGTAATTGTCAATGATTCTTAGTATGATATTTCTATAAGGATACATCCAGTATTTACTAGTTCTCAATATTATATGTATCGATAAGTAACTAGCAAACATTGCGATGTCATATATGTTTTGTATTTAATCAATATAGATGACAGAGACAGAATTTCTATTTAAACTATTTGTGAAATAATTTAGCAACTAAGCAAATATAAATGTAGCAATAAAGTTTTTCTGTAGCGTCCATTCAGACTTAATGAATACCTCTGGTAAATACGCGAAAAATATAGAACACTATGTTTACTAGATCCGGTATTATAATTCTGTATTACAGGTTGTCAGGAAACATTAATTATTCGAGTAAAGAGCACTTTGAAGCTAAACGTTTTCTATGAACGTTACGCATTTCATTATGGCCACTGTGACTTAAATATTTTGTCGTCATGAATTACAATTTATATAAAGTGCAATGGTCAAGGTATCTTGATTTTGGAATGATTTGAATAAATGAAAATAGTAAAACCAAGTGGAGTAATAAAACCAAACAGCTGGAGTAGTTTTTATTGTGATAATATGCGTAGTTAGACAATTTTCTTCATATTAAAAAGATCCTTAGACATAAGTTCAAACCATCTCATTATAGATTTACATAAAAAGTTTGCGCGCAGAACATTTATAATACAATAGTTTATGGTTTAAAAGTTAGTTTAAAAGTTAGTTTATGGTTAAAATAATATATATTATATATTCCGTCGGAATATATATATATAATATATATATATATATATATATTCTGTGAATTATATATATATATATATATATATATATATATATATATATATATATATATATATATATATA